AGCTCCAGGGTCTCCAGCTCTAGGGTCGACAGCTCCAGCGCCTCCAGCTCCAGCGCCTCCAGCGCTAGTGCCTCCAGCTCCAGCGCCTCCAGCGCCAGGGTCTCCACTAGCTCCGGCGCCTCCAACACAACCAGCCCCGGCAGCTCCAGTACCTCTAGTACGAGCACCTCCAGGACCAGCAGCTCCAGCACCTCCGGTACGTCCAGCTCCAGCAAGAACTCGAGCACCTCCAAGACTAGTAGCTCCAGCACCTCCAGCTCCAGTGCCTCCAGCGGCAGAGCCTCCAGCTCCGGCAGCTCCACTACTAAGGCTTGTGCCCTGAGCAAACCACTAACGCAGCTGCTGCGGGGAGAGAGGCTCCCGCCGGAGAGACAGCCGTGGCGAGGCACCTGCAGGACCTCCAGTAGACGCAGTACCCCTAGGCTCAGCAACCCCAGACTCCGCACCCTCAGACTCAGCACCCCCAGGCTTGGCACCCTCAGGCTCAGTACCCCCAGGCTCCGCACCCCTAGGCTCAGCACCCCCATACTCCGCACCCTCAGACTCAGCACCCTAAGGCTCCACACCCGCAGGCTCAGCACCCCCAGGCTCCGCACTTGCAGGCTCAGCACCCCCAGACGCAGCACCTGAGTCTACAGCGACCCCGACAGGCACAGTCCCGGGGAGTGGGTCTACCTGAGACACACCTGAGGGAGCAGGACCCTGAGGGGGGAGGGGGTCTACCGGAGGGGGACCTCGAGCAAGGAAGAGCGGCGGGGGTGGGAGAGGGGCAGTGCGGTAGGGGAAGAGACGGTAAAATAGAACCGACTTGTCAAACGTGACGTCCTTAGAGGGGAGGACGCGGCGCGAGGCGGTGTGGTAAAACTGCCAGCCAGGCGCGTCAGGGGGAAAGCCAAGGAAGACGGCGCAGGAGGAGACCTTGTCTGCGGACGTATGGTGAACAAAGGCACGAGAACCCCAGAACCGGAACACCGACGCATCGCCAACCTTCCCCGTCCAACGCAGTGTAGGCGAGGTCTCCGGCAAGGAGACACGGGGCCAGAGGTTGAGCTGATGCGCAGCGTACCGGACCGCAAACGGCCACAGAAAATGGAGAGCAGCCGCATGGATCATGGAGGTACGAGCCACCTCCATGACTAAGCCAATGCGGCGCTCAGCAATCCCATTTTGCTGCGGGGAGGCCGGAAGCATGAATGACTGGAGGATGCCCTCCCCACGACAAAATTCCCGCAAGAGGTCGGAGGAGAACTCACCACCTCTGTCAAAGTGCAGACGCAGGACAGGAAGGTCCTTGCGGAACCGCTCACGGAGCTGGAGACGGACTGCGCGGATCCAAGGGATCAAGACCTCAGGGACATCACCCTTGCTGCGCAAGGGGAAGACCATGGTTGAATGCGTGTAGTCGTCAACAACCAGCAGGAAGTAGCACTCGTGGTCCTATCCACTAACGCATGCTGGGCCCCACACGTCCATGTGTAGAGTCTACAGGGGAGCAGTCCTTGGGGGAAACGAGGAGGAGTGAGGAGCGGCGCGCTGTCGCCCCTCGACGCAAGGAAGGAAGGGCGGGGCAGGCGAGGGCGGGAGGGGAGGCAGGGACCTGGGAAGACCAAAAACAAGGAGGCGGGAGTGCATGCCACGAAGGCGTGGCAGGGAGGGGTGACCAAGGCGGTGGTGCCACAGGAGAGTCTGGTGCGACAGGAGGCAACACGAGCAGGGGGCAGCTACCAGACCTGACGTGGACACCTGACCCGACGAAGCTACCTAAGGAGGCTCAGTAGTAAGTGTGTACAGACTCGACCAAGGTCGACAGGTGAACGTGGCAAGGTGACGGCCCGTCCGTGTACACGTGCAGATCGACACACGCTGACCCCCTGGAGTGGTGGTAGTGACCATCGCATCCTGGAGGGCAGCGGTACTCACCAAGTTCGTAGAGAACGAGGGGAGGTTTTGACCTGACAGTGAGCCAGACAGAACCGCCGGACACGAGAAAACAGTGGAGGAACGGGCAAGAACTGGGCCCCCTAAGGGGTCAGCCAGTCTGACCGGAGCAGGTGCAGGGAGTGGAGTGAGGGTGGTATTGTCGCGAAAGAAACAACAGGAAGCACCTGAGTCAAGCGTAAAGGTGTGCAAGGCCACAGCGCAGTACTAGGGAGAGCAGCCTCACAACCACCTAGAGCAGTAGCCTCTATACCTGGGTCGGGCGGCACACATCGGTAACAGTTACCCTCAGCACTAACAGACAAGGCATGCATGGCAGCAAGGATAGCATCATAGTCAAGAGCAAAGATATCAACTCCATACCTAAGCAGCTCTGCCCAGTGGGGGCGCTCAGCCTCGTCACCAAACTCTGCGCACCAAGCGTCGTCTAGGCGGGAGAAGCAGCGGTGCTGAGAGTGAGGCTTCCCGCATGTCTGACCAGCATGGTCACCCGTGCGAATGACATACGGGCAGCGAACACTACCCCCAAACGCCCCACGCTGAGAAAACCACTCACGAAGCTGCTGGGGCGAAGGGGTCTCGCTCCGACGCTGCTGTTGCTGCCTCTGGCCACTGCCGGAACCTCCCCTCTGAACAGCTCCACCCGGACTGCCACCACTCCCACTTCCGCTACTACCGCCACCCCCATCGCCGCCACCACTACCGCCACCAAAGCCCCCACTCCCACCACCACTCCCACCGCTGCCACCACCTCCGCTACCTCCACCACCTCCACTGTCGCCACCACCACCACCCGCGCTGCCACCGCCGCCACTCCTGCCACCCTTGCCCTTGCTGCTGCGGCGCTTCCCACTAATAGTAGAAGCAGCCCCGACATCCTCAGTACCAAGGATGTCAACAGCAGCAGCAGAAGCGTAGGAGGGGGCAAGGGGGGAGGGGGAACACCCCTCAAAGAAGGGCGTGCGAGGAGTGCCACGAGCGGCACCTACAGCGACGACGCTAGTCTCAGCTGCAAGGAGGTGCTGCTCGAGCAGGTCCACGGTGAGGTCAGTGGGGTCAAGTGCGAGAAAGTGGTCCCTGACAGCGCGAAGAGAGTCAGGGAGGCGGGTGACTATGAAGTAGAGAGTGATGTACATCGGGGGCGGGTTCCTATCAAGGAACTCTGCCGGGAGGGCAGCGCGGTAGCGAGCGTCGCTAGTGCGGAGGTGGGTAACGAGGTCCTCGACTGTGGCGAAGGCGGACAGCTCGGGAAACAGGTAGGGCAGTATAAGGCGGCCTAGAGCAGCAGTGGCAGGGGAGGAGTAACGAGCGACTACAGCGTCGTACAGGGCTTTAGCAGTCTTGTGCTGGCCAAAGTGAGCGCGTTTGGCTAATGGCGGCTGGTTGCGATTGGCTAAGCGAGCAGCAGCGTCACGCGTAAGCCACTGTGAGCGAGTCACACTGTCAGCTGTGGCGGGAGGGGCGAGAGAGGCTCCAGACGTGTGGTCAAACAATGAAACGCTGTCTCTAGAATCGCTCAGTAGGTTCAGCTGTAAGTCGTCGAGCCACGTATCGAACTGGATCGGACGGCCCTCATGATCGAAGGTGAGTACACTGAGAGAAGCCATAGCGGGCAGAGCAGGGTGGCGTGAGACCAGCAGAGCAGCACGTAGGCAGGGCGGCGCGCGAGCACTAGGGAAGCGCGCAGGGCAGGGCACGGAGGCGCACGGCTAGGGCGGCCAGCAGGGCGGCGCACAACAGGGCGGGCAGCAGCAGGGCGGGCAGTAGCCGGGCGGCGCAAGCAGCAGGGCGGGCACGCGGGCTGCAAGGGGGCGGCGGGCGGGCTGCCAGAGGGTTGCGCGCGGGCTGCAAGGGGCGGCAAGCGGGCCGCAAGGGGCGGCGAGTGGGCTGCAAGGGGCGACGCGCACGCTGCAAGGGGTGGCGAGCGGGCTGCAAGGGGCGGCGAGCAGGCTGCCAGAGGGCGGCTCGCAGCCTGCAAGGGGCGGCGAGCGGGCCGCAAGCGGGCGGCGATCTGGCTGCAAGGGCAGCGAGCGGGCCGCAAGTGGGCGGCGAGCGGGCCGCAAGTGCGGCGAGCGGGCCGCAAGCGAGCGGCGAGCGGGCTGCAGGGGCGGCGAGCGGGCCGCAAGCGAGCGGCTCGCGGGTTGCAGGGGCGGCGAGCGGGCCGCAAGCGGGCGGCGAGCGGGCTGCAGGGGCAGCGAGCGGGCTGCAGGGGCGACGCGCTGGCTGCAGGGGCGGCGAGCGTGCTGCAGGGGCAGCTCGCGGGCTGTTAAGGGCGGAGCGACGGGCTGCAAAGGGCGGCGCGTGGGCTGCTAAGGGCGGCATAGCGGCCAGCAGGGCGGCGCGCCGGTAGGGCAGGGCGGCAGGGCAGCTAGTGGGGCAGCTCTGTGGTGGGCCCTAAAAAATTCGGTCCTAGGGAAGGACCTGCTCTAAAACCATGTCAGTACTATAGAACGAGAATAAATTCATTGAGCAGAAAAGTTGGTACAAGTACTAACCCTAATTGGGTTGAACCCCATATGGGCTACCCCACTACAGCCTACACAATATAAGCATTATAACATTTTGACACGCTCTCACGGCACTGTGCATGGCCGGATGTGCGTCTGTCAAGTGTGCCAGCATGGTGTATGTGGGCAAGATGACATCACTTGAATGGCTCACACTTAATGCTAGTGGAGTCAAGGAGGATGGGCTTCGCTACTTTTCCTCATCTTCCCCCTCCCTCGACTGCTCCACATGCCTCTACCACTCACCCCACATGCCACGCCATGCTATCCCATGCCTCGTACAGTGCGAGGCGAGTTCTCCTCCTACACCAATAGCAGTGCATTTAAAATAACAAAAGCTACTACAACCCTTTCTCCTTCACTTCTACATCTCAGCAGTCATTCCCATGCCATGCCTTGCACCATGGTCCATGCCTTGCACCATGGTCCATGCCAAAGAAGCTTCCCTCCCACTCCAGTGCCAGTCACCTCCACTTCACACATACAGCTCAGCAGCCCACGACGCCAAAAGTTGTCCCTTGTAAGAATCGTGGAATTTGCCTAAACCCTTTTACTTCACAGATACAGCTCAGCAGCACCATTCCCATACCCTGCAGGCACTGCACTCCACTGCTTCTCCCGCATCACTCCTGCTCTCAGAAATGCCTCTCTCACAGCCTTACCCGCCTCCTCTGCTGCTCCCACACCCCCCTCCCCAGCAGCACATGCAGCCACGAGTTCCCCCATCAGCCACGCCATGCCTCGCAGTGAACAGCCCTCCCTCTCCCACAGTAGTCCCTTCCACTTCACACGTACAGCTCAGCAGCCCCGTTCCCATGCCCTGCCGGCACAGCACTCCACTCCTTTGCCCAAAAGGAGCCTGCTCTCAGCAGGGCCTCCCTCATAGCCTTACCCCCCTCCTCCTCCACTGCTGCTGCTGCTGTTGTTGCTCCCTGTTGTCCTGCTGGCCCACCCCCGTGGGCACCACCAGCACACCCTGCCACGAGTTCCCTCACGAGCCATGCCATGCCTCGCACCGTGCCTGGGGAGCTGCCACTCCAGTGGTGGTGCCTTCCCTTCCATTCACACGTACAGCTCAGCAGCCCCATTCCCATGCCCTGCCGGCACACCACTCCACTGCTTCGCCCACACGGCGCCTGCTCTCAGCAGGGCCTCCCTCACAGCTGCTCCCACATCCCCTTCACCAGCAGCACATGCAGCCACGAGTTCCCCCATCAGCCATGCCATGCCTCGCACCGTGCCTGGGGAGCTGCCACTCCAGTGGCGGTCCACGAATGAGAGCGCGACAGCTGGCAGCTGCCGGGGCTGACACTGTGAGAGGGGCGACGGGATTGCAAGTGAGAAACGGGAGTATGCAAGAGGCGACGTGGGAGTAAGTGGAAGAGTGGGGTTCCGGAAGTGGGAGAGAGGAGTGTGGGGAACGAGAGAGGTAGGACGAAAGTTTCGAGGAGATTCTTGTAACCCTAACTGTTGTGTAGCTTGATGTCCTTGTATTCTAGCCCAGTTGGAAAAGAAGAGCGAAGGTTGGGGATGACACACATGGGAGACATGAAGATTCTCTGGTCAGTCACACAGCATACATATGGCAAACGCCAGGCTGTTGCTGCGGCGCTTAAATAATGGTGGGAATACATATGACAAACGCCGGACCGCGATTGCAGATGGGAAAGGGAGTGATGCAAGGGTACAAGAGGACGGGATAGTGGGAAGCACATGAGAGAAGAGCATGGGGAGGAGCGAGAAAAGCATGGACGAAGAGGAGGGGCTACAAAAAAATCAGGAGGGAACATACATGGGAGAGAAGAGCAGCAGGGAGGCCGTCAATGAGACTGCCGGATGGGAGGTAGGCGATGGCTGGGAGAGGAGCGAGGGGTGCGAAGGGTGATGCCTGGATAACAGGGGCATGAGGGTGAGGGGCAGGAGAGCGAAAACTGGGTGAAGGCAGAGACGGGAGAGGAGATCAGCAGGGACCGTCGACGAGGCTGCTCGATGGGAGGTAGGCGATGGCGGGGAGAGGGGCGAGGGCTGTGAAGGGGAATGCCTGGAGGGAAACAGGCAACGGGGATGGGAGAAAGGGCAATTCCGAGGAGGGCAGAAGAGAGACTGGCAATGGCGGGGAGAGGGGCGAGGGATGGGGAAGTGGGGCATAATGAGGGCGAAAGTGGGATGAGTGAATACATGGGAGAGAGGAGCAGCATGCTTTCGAAAGTGACTGTTGGACAAATAATGAAAGCTCATTCGAAACCAGACATCCACATGACACATACTCGGCACTGCAACATGCATTCATAGGCAGTCATTCTGGGATGTACTGTTGACACATGCCAGATCCTGAGTCATGTCTGAGACAGTTGGGGGCATACCTTGAATGCGTCAGTCTCAAGCCGCCACACATCCACGTCAGCAAGGGGCCCCTGTGACGTGGCATGCTGTTTGGGCGGCGCAGAGGGCAGTGAAGGAAGAGAGATGGCTGGCAGAGAGGAAACCACGACCGTCCTGGTGGGTGGCATGGAGAAGAGGTAGGTAAGGGAATGTTTGAATAGAGACAAGAGTGGAAGACTGTGAAATCATGACTGTTTTGAGGGATGGCATGGAGAAGGGATTAGAGGGGATGGGGAATGGTTGGAGGGTTGAAGGGTTGGACGGTTGGCGGATGGGATGTGACTGTACGCAGGGCTGTGATGGGAGAGAAGTGGCTGGCAGAGAGGAGGATAACGACCGTCCTGATGGATGGGATGGAAAGGGGGTTGGAAGGGGTGGGGAATGGTTGGAAGAGATGGATGGGGGATACGAGTGGGAGAAGATGGCAGTCCTGATGGCGGCATAAAGAAGGGATTGGAAGAGGTGAGGAATGGTTGGATGGTTACGGGTGGGATGTGACTGTATGCAGGGCTGTGATGGGAGAGAATTGGCTGGAAGAGAAGAGATTACGACCATATTGATGGATGGCATGTCAATGGAGGTGGGGAAGGGTAGGAGGGTGGGAGGGTAGGTGGACGGGTGGGAAATAACCATCGGATATTATGACAGTCCTGTAGATGGCATGGAGGAGGGAGGAGGAGATAAGGGTGGTCATTGTTGATTTCACTACCCTAATTGCCGGCTTCCTGACATGATTCAATCACCGGACTTAACGTGGTGAAACACTGAACGGACGTTTGAAGGAACGGTTTTGAGTCGACTCAAAACACGAGTACACAGAGCGACTCCACGTCTTGCCGCGACTGTATTCGTGACGTGCTGGTCGAAATGGCTTGAGGTGAAACTGAGTCACAGTGTGACCAGACCACATGACTCACAAAGATGGCTAGAATGATTTCACATGCACCATATTATATCCTAACCTGTCACCACTTTACGACTCACAGGGATGGCTTCACATGCGCCAAGGCTCACTAGAATGATTTCGCACGCATCGTACCGTAACCTGACCTGGCACGACATTCTGGCAACGTATCAAATTCTGACTCACAGGGATGGTTTCACATGCGCCATGACTCACAGGGATGGTTTCACATGCGCCATGACTCACAGGGATGGTTTCACATGCGCCATGACTCACAGGGATGGGTTCACATGCACCATGACGCCTCGCACCCACTCCAAGCACCGCTCTGCTTCCAACCGACCGTGGCCCACAGCCAATAGCGCGGTGCCACCTGTCTCTGTGAGGTAGAGGTGTGACGTGTGCTGCGCTGTTGATGATCTGCACACCATGCACCACGTGATCATGCATGCACCATTCACCATGTGGCATGCACCATTCACCATGTGGCATGCACCACGTGACATGCACCATGTGGCATGCAGTATGTGCCATGCGTTAACTCCCATAACCCAAGCATCATGTGGATGGGTCATACGACGTATCCCATGCCCGACATGCAATGCACCGTGTGCAATGCATCGTGTGTATATGGCAAGTAGCATGAGCCATACATTCAAGAAGCAAGAGGCAGGGCAGGGCACGGTACAACAATAGCGACATGATACTCACTGGGCTGGGTACAGTGATCACGATTTTGCAGCATGGGGGTTGCTGGAAAAGGCTAGACGGCATCAGTGCCAGCAACAATGGGGGCCACAAACGACAGTGGCAGGAGAGGGAAAATCACTGGCCTTTCCCACTCATGTGAACAGTTTCTTTGCAAGCTTCTCTTTGTTAGTCTCACTGCCTCACCTTCCCCCATCAACGCCACTGCTGCTGCCATTGCTGCCGCTGCTGCCGTAGTGAATCCGCGCCGCCAGTCTAAATCCAGAACTCTTGTCACTGGCAGCAGTAGCACCGTCGGAGGCCACATCAGCACCGCCAGCACCATCAGCAGCAGCGTGTGTGTCAGAAAGAGGGGCGGAGGTAGGATTCCCCCCCAGGGATTCCACAGCATGGGCTATTAGGTCGCTGCTAGCCGGTGCTGCTGCCACCAGCAGCAGCCTCACTGCCACACACCCCCTCTCCTCTCCCCCCCCTCCCCCCACACCACCACCACCACTAGCCAGGCTTGCACCATCCATGCTGTCGCTGCCAGCGGTGGTGGTGCTGGTGGTGGTGGGAGGCGGAGAGAGGGAGAGGCGCTGCAGCAGTGATGAGGCGCAGGTGTCGTGCCATAGCCACTGGTGGTTGCGGGAGGGAGACAAAAAGGAGGGGGGAAGGGGAAGAATTTTGAGGCGCCTCAAAAGGAGGGGGGAAGGGGAAGAATCCAGTCAACGACCAAACGCGTGTCCAGCGAAAGGCATCGGTCAAGCAGCAGGGGCAGAAAGCACATTCTGGTTCAACCGCCTGGATCGCGTCCAGATCAGCCGTCCATATCTGCCGCCTAGATCATCAGGCATCCAGATCGCTGCCTGGCTTTTGAGGATTCTCAAAAGTGACTCCAAGGTCGCTGCCCCTGCTACAGAGACGGTAGGAATTCAATTTCCGCATCTTACCGTCGCAATTGCACCACACGAATCCAAATCGCCATACTGCAGTCGTACGACACAGCTACAGACAGATCGTAATGACGTGTTAGTATCCCGATGCGTGCTATAACGGGTCATATTCCGTCACCTTCACAAAATACCCCTCCGTCACACGGCTGGACCCGACAATTCGAGTACCGCGGCGCGTCCGCATTTCAACATTGCTATCCCAATAGCCGGGCATCTCGGCAGCAGCGCGGCACACCTCGCGAAAGTTCGCATCTCAAGCTTCGCAGCAGCAGGCGAGATGTAACGCCTGCGGGCTCACACGAATAGTTGAAAGGCTACCGCTGCGCCTCTGAGTAACCCCCGTTTCTGCCCGTTGGTCTATATTAGTGGAGAAAGATAAATTCTTACTCCGAAGCGCAGGGGAGCGCCGAGGGAGATGTGATTGGACAGCTAAACCTCCGGGGATCGGCCGAGAGGCGGATAGGAACCAGGGCTCGCTTCCTACTGCGAGCATCGCGGCGACGAGGAGACGAAGAAAGAACCTACTTCGAAGCGGAAGGAAGCGACGGAGCCGGAGTGTTTGGGCGGGAAGGACTCGAAATCCGGATCGTCCCAGTGGCGGCTGGGCGGCGGCTCCTCCGTGATGGCGTCGAACGCTGCCATGGCGCTGATTGGCTGGAAGGCGCGACGCGAAGGACGTACTGTTCACCAAACCGAGTTGACCGTTAGCAGAGTTAACTGGAATTAGCAGGATCTAGAAATCAAATCGGCAGCGGCTCCGTTGTTATCGCGTCGAACGAAGCTTCAGGATGACGACTGCTAGGAGTGATGGTGCATGGTTATGAAGATGACATCATGATGAATGGAGAGATCTATGAATATTGAACGAGGGCAGTGGTTTGTTGAAGTTGGATTCAATGAAATTCACATTGAGGCTCTGTTTGCACATCTGCGCATTGAAACAGGCAGGGCGGTTCAAAAAAACTTACTAAAGCAACAGGGACAATGTTAGATATGTTCTCGTGCGATGCAACAGCCGTGGTTAGCATAAAACACCGCCGTCGTATTGAACACGCCCTTCCACGCGTACCCGTTTGTCAATACTAGAGACCAAGCTCACCTTGAGCCGCGTTCCATAATCAATTGCAACAATCCCTGCTGCGACAGCCGCGACGACTGTGTATCGTATGCGAACTTCACCCGACCGAGTCCTTTGATTCATCGCCACGGCAGCCATGGCGTGCGTAGCTTTAGGAGCCGTTTCCACGTGCGGAGTCGCCCTTGTTTCGCGCGGCGCGTCGAATCCAACGGCGCGCTTCCCTTGTACATCTGGTGAGGCTCCTTACTGTCGTCGTGGGTAATAACGCCACTATTATCTCTGTAGGTCAGTCTCAAAAGCCGTTAGAATGCGTCAACATCTCGAAAGCCCTGCATTCGCCTTCCCGAATGAGGCTCGGAGCATATTTGCTTCATCCGAACAGGCCTTCTTCATCCGCGTTTAGCATCCCGCGATATAATGTACGTCATGCATTGATTGATACGTCTCAGCCTCAAGTTTCGAGACGTCCCGAAGCCTTGGTAGTGCCAATGCAATTGCGTGCCTGTGACAATCATGCAGAGAATTATTGACGCGCGCTAGTCTCCCGCTCCTTTCAGTCCCCCAATCCCTGTATCTCCCGCCTCACCTAGCTCATCTTTTGAGGCGCCTCAAAAGACATCCCTGTATCTCCCCCCCTCTTCCGTTTCACGTTCGGTCTCTTCGTATCACTCTCGTAACCCCCTCTTGACCAATAAGAGACAGTTGAATTTCCCCTCTCCAAACGTTTGCAGCGCGCAGCATTGTCATCAACTGGGAAGTTGGGCGTATGTCATCTGCGCCCCAGTCAATGTTGAAAGTTTCAGTAAAAATACTTAAAGCTCTAGGCCCAATTGCGCAAGCTTAGTAATCTTGCGCAAGGGTTTGGGCTGGTGGTTTGGGAGGTGAACACAAAGTCGAGAAAGTGTTGGGAAGGCGGGGTTGACTGATTTTGCACAAGCTCTCGCAACACTCTCTGAGTCAGCAAACCGAAGGGCCAACTTTCTGTTTGGGTCCGAGAGTCCCAAATTGGGGAATACTGAAACTTGAAGTTTGCGCAGTGACTTTGGCCTCGATCAATCAGATTCATGCGCACCTACTGTAACCCAACATTCGCCAACTCACAGCACCCAAAACAGCAGCTGCGCAAGATTAGTAGTCTTGCCCAGCGCGGTCCGCAATTTGGGCCCAGAGCTTTAAGTCACAATGGAGAATTCTGAAAATTTTCACCTCAAAGTCGGATACAACCGCACTCTATTCCCCCGCAGCTCGCAGCGTCAGCTTCACATGCAGAGTGCGGATCTCCAATGCACATGACACACCGACTCCCTACATCCCCACATCCCCATGTCCCCATATCCCATATCCCCATATTCCCCCAGCTCGCAGCCTCACCTTCACAGCTCGCGCAGCCAGCGTGGCAGCAGAGGCGACCAATAGCAGCAGCGCCGCCAGTGGCACCAGCTCAGCAGATGCGCCGGTGCTGCTGACATGTCGGCAGTGCAAGCAGCCGTTCGACCCCGCCCAGAACCACCCCTCCGCCTGCTCCTTCCACCCCGCCCACTACGGAGGTACAGAGCGGTGGAACGTGGTGCGGGCTGTGCTATGGAGATATAGAGTGGTGGGTGTGGTACAGGCTGTGCTATGGATGGAGGTTTGGCCGTGGTGGCATGTCCTAGGTGTTATGCTCTGGCCGACGCTATGGGCTGTGCTGTGGACCACTTTCACCCCTCCGCTTGCACCTTCTGCCCCATGCATCACGGAGGTATAGATTGGTGGAATGGGGTGCATGATATGCGTGGGGTACCATGTGGTGTGGGGCAACTGTTGAGTCGACTCCAAGGTAGAAACGACCCCTCCGGCTGCTCCTTCCTTCCATCGCACGCACTACATAGGTGTCGTTGTGTGTGACGTAATGGGATGCAGCTATGCCCTGGGCTACGGTGTAGGCTATGTGCTATGGGCTATGGCGTGGGCGAAGTAAGCGGTATGGTATGCATACAATGCGGAGGGCAGGAGGGAGAAAAGGTGAGAGCAACGCGAGGATGGATATGCTGATTGCTGCCCCTCTTGCCATCGTGTGCATGCCTCTCTCTTCCACTCAACACAAATTTGTCCATCGTGCCTTCTTTTCTTATTGCCTCCTGTTTTGCCTGCACTCCATCCCCCCCCTTGCACTCCATCCCCCCCCTCCCCTCCCTTGCACTCCATCCCCTCCACTGCACTTCTTCTTCTCCACCTCATCCCTGTCCTCCATCTCTCACTCCCCGCAATCATCTTCTCCTCCGTTCACCTGCCATGACTCTCTCCGTCCACTTACCTTCACCTTGCTAGCTTCCCATGTTTGCTCTGCTCTGCGTGCTTGATGCACTGCCACACGTTGTATAGTTTACTAAAGAACAATTCTCCTTTCTCTGTGTGTGTGTGCGCGTGTGCGTGTGTGTGTGTCGCTGTGTGTGTGTGTGAGTTTCTGGGTGTGTGGGTGTGGGTGTGTGTGTGGGTGTGTGTGTGTGTGTGTGTGTGAATGTGTGTGTGTTTCTGTGTATTCATGTGTGTACATGTGTGCGTGTGTGCATGTGTGTGTGTGTGCATGTGTGTGTATGCGTGTTTGTGATGTGCATTTGCGCGCATACATATGTGCTCATGTGAATACACCAGGCGAAGTTAAACGGAAATGGAAGGTGAGAAAGCCACAAATCTAATCCCGCTCAAAGCCGCTGCTGGTCCACACCCTTGTCTCTTATCCACCATCTGTCTCTCCTTCCCTGTACCAACTTTTAAGAACCTCTGCCTCCTGCGAATACCTAACATCCTCAGTCTCCTCTCAACCACGCCCTTATTTTTGCACTCCACCATCTTTTCTGTGCTGGTGGCTTCTAAGTCGAGGTGGCTTTTGACAGATTCAGAACTCGTCTTGCCCTTATCCTGATCCGTTTTCACCGTGTCTTCTCTGAGGTTGCCCTTCATTGCCAATGGGGGATGTGCATGGCCACCTGTGCATTATTCTTGGCATCGCTTAGCACCTTTCCCTTGCCACTCCTTCACATCCTCACTGCAATGTGGTCTGGCTTGTACCACTAGTCGCATGAGTGGTTCCTGTATCACTAATAAGAGACTATCGTTAAGTGCACTGTATTCTGCACACTGTTCTAATCTAACCACCACCTCTCATCACAAAGCAATACTCCTCGTGCCAGCAAGTGGACAAAACGGTTCTTGCCCTGTTGGGAGGAGTCGATGACTATTAGCACCATGTCAATGTTGTTCCCTACCAAGGGCCCTGCGTTACACGTCATGCCATTCCTTTGCCATTGCCCTGTCTACACCCCTTGTCCGATTGCAATCCTATTCGTACCACAAGGTGGGACAGGAGTTCTTACACCACTCGGACAAGACAAGGGCAGAGGGGCGAGGACAAGAGCTTCTGGGACTGCTACGGCTGCTTCAATTTTGTCCGTTGCTTGCACTCCTCCTTTGCCCTCTCACTCCCTCTTTGCACTCTCACTCTCTGTGGAATGCAGTCATTCTCGTACCATAAAGTCGGCAAGGAATTCCTCTATCACTCAGAAGAGACAAGGGCGGAGTGGGGAGAGGTGGAGAACTTTTGGGACTGCTGCGGCCGCAACGACCCCACAGACCCTGGCTGCGCTAAGGGGCCCCACCGGTCGTACGATGATGTGTGATGCTGCTATTGCATGCTGCACTGTTCTCTGAATGTGGAGAACTTTGGGGGCTGCTGCGGCCGCAACAAACGACCCCATAGACCCCGCTGGATGCACTATGGGTCCCATCAATAATACGATGATGCATGATTTGTGTTTTTGCATGCTACACTGTACTTTGATGACGTGAGGGGTGTCCACGTGAAGAGCTGTTGGGTTGGGAGTGCTGTGGCCGCAACGACCCCATGGATCCTGGCTGCACTATGGGTGGCCTACATGCTACTCACAGTTCTTCTAAGCGGGTGAGGCGAGACGCAGTGGCTGGGAGAGAGCCAGTGAGCTTGGTGCTTGTGAGAGACCTGGATGAAGGGAAGTTGTATGTGGGGCGGGCAGGGAGTTTTGAGGCGCCTAAATAATTGGTGCTTGTGAGAGACCTGGATGAAGGGAAGTTGTATGTGGGGTGGGCAGGGAGGCAAACGAGTTCTGAGACGCAGGGCCAAGAACCCAGGAGGCGCGCATGCATGACTTGGGAGTAATTGGCCTTGAGGTCGTGCGGCAGGCGTGTGAGGCAAGGAAGGAGTCTGAAGAAGTTGAATATGGCATGGTGGAGATGGGACTGGCATGGGTGGATGGAACTCACAGTTGCATGCTTTGATTCATCGCCCCACACAGGGGCGTGTCCTCGCACGAATGGCATGGCATTACGTGGCGTGGCATGGCATGGCATTACGTGGCATGGCATGGCATGGCATTACGTGGCATGGCATGGCATGGCATGGCATTACGTGGCATGGCATGGCATGGCATGGCATGGCATTACGTGGCATGGCATGGCATGGCATGGCATTACGTGGCATGGCATGGCATGGCATGGCATGGCATTACGTGGCATGGCATGGCATGGCATGGCATTACGTGCCATGGCATGGCATGGCATGGCATGGCATGGCATGGCATTACGTGGCATGGCATGGCATGGCATTGCATGGCATTACGTGGCATGGCATGGCATGGCATGGCATGGCATGGCATTACGTGGCATGGCATGGCATGGCATGGCATTACGTGGCATGGCATGGCATGGCATGGCATGGCATGGCATGGCATGGCATGGCATGGCATTACGTGGCATGGCATGGCATGGCATGGCATGGCATGGCATGGCATGGCATGGCATGGCATTGCATGGCGTGGCCTTGGATGGCATGTGCTCGCATGGCATAGCATTACATGGCATGGACTCTCATTGCATGGACTCCCATGGCATGGTGCGGCGTACAGTTGAGTGAGTGCGGTGAGGTTCCCAATGGCATCTGGAATGGGTCCCTCCAACTGCTTCGCACTCATGTTCCTACAAAGTGGTGTGGGGGGGCATGGGGGTCATGGGGGTCATGGAGGGATATTGGGGGCGAGGGGGACCCCATGGGTCCTTGATGCACCATGGGACCGCACCGCACCGCACCGATCGTACGATGACGCGTTAATTGGTGCCATCATTATTATGTAATCATTATTACGTTAGCCTTTTCTGTTGAATTATATTGCATATCTTATAACTGCCTACAGCTAGCTAGTGTACTAGTTTAGGTATTAGCATCAACTGCTGGTGGTGTACCCTCCCTTTTGCCCATTCCTATATCTTGTATTCATTCCATAGTGAAACTCCTCTTTTGGCCAACTTCCCTCTCCATGGTTCTCCTTGCTGAACCTCTCCAAAACCCTAGTTCCTAATCTCCTAAGTTTCCTAACTACTATGGTTCTCAACATTTTCCACCTTCACAAGATGAGGGCAGCGTGGGGAGGGGAGATGTGGAAAACTTAGCATTTGGGACCGACGCTGCTGCAACAACCTTCTGGTGTTGGTCCACACCTTTAGATGATGTGTGCTGGTTTTGAGTGCATGCTCTCCAGCGTTTCGATGACAATGTCCACTGCGTCTGATGCAGTAATGCATTTTTATAACTTCAAACGTAGTACCACTATGGAAATAAACAGGAGAAAAAAGCACTGAAATTTCATCAATGGTAATGTACATAAACTCTTTTCTCATCAGTCAATTCCAGATTTAGCAAAAAGGGAGTGCTTATAGAGCGGTACCTCCAATTCGAGAGTAGTGACAAGCCCTTTTCTCAGCTACGTGGTATTGCAAAATCACAAGTGGCGGCGTGGAGTGTTTGTACTCTGCAATTACTAGTGCCAGTTTTTTAACAGTGATGCTGCACTTCGGCCACACCACACGGTAGTGTCAACTCAAGAGGCTGGCTGTGCCGCGTGCTTGTACTCAGGCTTGAGCTCGTAGAGGCCCTGGTTGGGCCCCCTCTTGTTGTACACACACATGTCGCCCAACACCTCCTTGAGGAATTGCTGAGGGAGGTAGGGGAGAAGGGGGGATGGGTGTGGGCACAGGTGAGGGGAGTTGGCGGCAAGGTGCAACAAAGGAACATGGGAGGAGCATGACACATGGACTCTTGTTGTACACACACATGTCTCCAAACACCTCCTTGAGGAATTGCTGTGAGAGGGAGGGGAGGGAAGGAGGTGGGATTGTGGGTGTGACATGAGTAACACGGCTGGCTTGAGTCACAGGGCACATGGCCTCTTGTTGTACACACACATGTCGCCCAACACCTCCTTGAGGAATTGCTGTGCGGTGCAGGGTGAGGAGCAAGGGGGTGTGGACATGGGAGAAGACAGCAGCAAGGTGAAACAACGGCCCATGAGAGGAGCATGGCACATGAGCACTTGTTGTACACACACATGTCGCCCAACACCTCGTTTAGGAATTGCTGTGGGAGGGAGGGGAGGGGGGAACGCGGGTGTACATACAGTAAGGATGGGATATATGAAAAGCACATGGCGCATGGCACTTGTGGTACACACACATGTCGCCCCACATCACCTTGAGGAAACGCTGAGAGGGGGAAGGGACATGGTGGGATTGTGGGCACATGACACAGGGCACACGCACTCTTGTACACACACAAGTCGCCCCACACCCCCTTGAGGAATTGCTGTGGGGTGCTTGAGCGTCCAGTGCAAGCGTTCCTCAAAGAGTGTGCTCCTTACCCCTCACCTGTGGCTGCTGAGTGGCGTCCGTGAGGTGCTTCAACGTCCAGTGCGGGCGCTCCTCAAAGAGCGCAGAGAGCTTTGCTTCCACCACCCACATGCGCACCCACTCGAACCCATCTCCAGTGCCCCTTCACCCCTCACCTTCTCCCCTTCATCGTCTCACCTGCGGCTGTTGCGTCGCGTCTGTGAGGTGCTTGAGTGTCCAGTGCGGTCGCTCCTCAAACAGCGCAAACAGCTTTGCCTCCACCACGTCTCGCGACATCCGCACACGCTTGCTCTCCTTCTCCGCTGCCCGCGCTGCTGCTGCCTGCTGCCATGCCGGTGTCGTGCTTGCCTTGCGCTGGAGAGAAATGGTGGGGGAGGGGAGGGTTGGGAACAAGGTGGAAAAAGGCCTGGCTTCCCTAACCTACGCACTAGCTTGCTATCCTTTTCTGCCGCCTGCTGTCATGCCGGTGTCGTGCCTGCCTTGCTCTGTAGAAGAATCGTGTGGATAGGTCGGAGGTTTCGGGGGGAAAGAGGGAGGGACAGGAGGTTAGAGAGGGCTTGAACAATTCCTACCTCAACGCACTCCCTCGCTTGTTCTCAGTATACATTCGATTGAAAGGTTGGGGTTCAAAATCCTTTGGAACTTGAAACTTTGTGGCAAAATCGTGAGGAACACGGTAAAACCCGAAGCCAAGTTGACTTTTGAGTCGACTCAAAAGTCAACTGTGTGGCAAAATCGTGAGGAACACGGTAAAACCCGAAACCGAGTTGACTTTTGAGTCGACTCAAAAGTCAACTGTGTGGCAAAATCGTGAGGAACACGGTAAAACCCGAAACCGAGTTGACTTTTGAGTCGACTCAAAAGTCAACTGTGTGGCAAAATCGTGAGGAACACGGTAAAACCCGAAACCGAGTTGACTTTTGAGTCGACTCAAAAGTCAACTTTGTGGCAAAATCGTGAGGAACAACACGGTAAAACCCGAAACCGAGTTGACTTTTGAGTCGAATCAAAAGTCAACTGTGTGGCAAAATCGTGAGGAACACGGTAAAACCCGAAACCGAGTTGACTTTTGAGTCGACTCAAAAGTCAACTTTGTGGCAAAATCGTGAGGAACACGGTAAAACCCGAAACCGAGTTGACTTTTGAGTCGACTCAAAAGTCAACTGTGTGGCAAAATCGTGAGGAACACGGTAAAACCCGAAACCGAGTTGACTTTTGAGTCGACTCAAAAGTCAACTGTGTGGCAAAATCGTGAGGAACACGGTAAAACCCAAAACCGAGTTGACTTTTGAGTCGACTCAAAAGTCAACTTTGTGGCAAAATCGTGAGGAACAACACGGTAAAACCCGAAACCGAGTTGACTTTTGAGTCGAATCAAAAGTCAACTGTGTGGCAAAATCGTGAGGAACACGGTAAAACCCGAAACCGAGTTGACTTTTGAGTCGACTCAAAAGTCAACTTTGTGGCAAAATCGTGAGGAACACGGTAAAACCCGAAACCGAGTTGACTTTTGAGTCGACTCAAAAGTCAACTGTGTGGCAAAATCGTGAGGAACACGGTAAAACCCGAAACCGAGTTGACTTTTGAGTCGACTCAAAAGTCAACTGTGTGGCAAAATCGTGAGGAACACGGTAAAACCCGAAACCGAGTTGACTTTTGAGTCGACTCAAAAGGCAACTTTGTGGCAAAATCGTGAGGAACACGGTAAAACCCGAAACCGAGTTGACTTTTGAGTCGACTCAAAAGTCAACTCTGTGGCAAAATCGTGAGGAACACAGTAAAACCCGAAACCGAGTTGACTTTTGAGTCGAATCAAAAGTCAACTTTGTGGCAAAATCGTGAGGAACACGGTAAAACCCGAAACCACGCTGACAAATGTATACTGAAGCTTTAACCTTCATGTTGGAGACGGTGCGAGGCATGGGCAGAATTCGCGCTGCCCTTGTCTTGTGTTGCCTTACATCCCCCCTGTACCATGCAGCTCTGTGTGCGTATGCCCTCACCTTGACGTTGGAGACGGTACCAGGCATGGGTAGACGGGGGCCCGCTGCACCTGGGTCGTACATCTGGAGGCGAGGGAGGCGAAGGGACCGGAAGGGACGAGAGTGAGAAGGGAAGAAGAATGAGTAGAGGGAAGAGACAGAGGCACAGAGGCATGGGCAGACGGGGGCCGGTGGCACCTGGGTCATACATCTGCAAGAAAGGGAGGCGAAGGGACCGGAAGGGACGAGATTGAGAAGGGAAGAGAGAGCCGCAGAGGCATGGGCAGATGGGGGCGCGAGGCACCTGGATCGTACATCTGGAGGCAAGGGAGGCAAAGGGGCGTGATCGAGAAGGGAAGCGAAGGGAAGGGAAGGGACGAGGATGAGAAGGGAAGAGAAGGGAAGGGAAGGGAAGGGACGAGGATGAGAAGGGAAGAGAAGGGAAGGGAAGGGAAGGGACGAGGATGAGAAGGGAAGAGAAGGGAAGGGAAGGGAAGGGAAGGAACGAGGATGAGAAGGGAAGAGAAGGGAAGGGAAGGGAAGGAACGAGGATCAGAAGGGAAGAGAAGGGAAGGGAAGGGAAGGGACGAGGATGAGAAGGGAAGAGAAGGGAAGGGAAGGGAAGGAACGAGGATGAGAAGGGAAGAGGAGAGTGGGTAGAGGGAAGAGAGAGAGGCAGAGGCATGGGCAGACAGCTGCCTGATGCACCTGGGTCGTACATCTGCAGCAAAGTGAGGCAAAGGGAAGGGAAGGGAAGAGAAGAGTGAGTGGAAGGAAGAGAGAGAGGCACAGGCATGGGAAGAAAAGGGAAGGGACGAGAAGGGACGGGAAGGGACGGGAAGGGACGGGAAAGGACGGGAAGGGAAAAGAAAGGAAGGGAACGGACGGGAAGGGAAGGGACGGCACGAGAACGGAAGGGAAGGGATAAAGAGTGAGTAGCGAGACGGTGGGGAGAAGAAAAGCACCCACCTCTCAACCTGCCACCCAACTCCTACACCCGTGTCCAGAAGTCTGATCCTCAGCGTCCCATTCCTCTGCTACCTGTAGCTTGCGTTTTAAGTGTGTACCATTTCTTCTCCCGCGCCTGCAGCATCTGCCGTTCAATACCCCCCTTCCTCCCCCCCTCAACGCCTGATCTGCTCAACCCCCCCTAGACTCAACCCACCTGCAGCTTGCGTTTGGGCGTGTTCCATTTCTTCTCCCGCGTCTGCAGCATCTGCCGATAGCCCCGGTCCCCGCTGGGCGGCTGCATGTCAAACTTGTGCTCCACCTTTCCCTCCAGGGCAATGCGACCTGTAATGGAGCGATACGGGAAGGAAAACAAAACGGGAGGCGAGGGGAGATCAGCAACAATACAGGGTGGGATTCCACCAGCCGTCTGCTGGCAGCCAGTCACCTCTGACTCCACTGGGTAGCTGCTTATCAAAATCTTGCTCCACCTTGCCCTCCAGAGCAATGCGGCGTGCAGACAGATCGACGAGGGGGGGAAGAGCAGCAACAACGACAGGGTGTGAGTGGGCCTAGCCATCTGCCAGCGTCCGCTGGTACCTCTGACCCCACTGGGCAGCTGCTTATCAAACTCTTGCTCAACCTTGCCCTCACACGACACGAATGACACGACAGGGCATGACACGACATGCCACAGGATCACAAACTAGCAACGCACAGCCTGCAGACTTGGTTGGAGAAGAGGTGCATGGGCCCACGGTCAGGGGTGTTGTACACTACTCTCATCACGGGAGTTTCGGTCCGCACACAAGGATTAATTGAACAATAATAAAAAAAAACCTATGGAAGTTGAAGAACGTAGATGAATAGTAGATACTGCGGAGATAACTAGTACAACGGGAGCTAGACTACAGGCTAGGCACGGGGCAAGAGTGATCTCTGCGTTCGTTCACTTGGTCGTTCTCTAGCACTTGTGCATTCACGGGGCAAAACCGCAAGAGTTTCACTAGCAAAAGTTGAGAACAATAGTAACAACATTGGCATCACAGACTACATCAGAACAAGGATGCTAGTCGGTCCACTGCCAGCGCAGCGCAGTCAACCGCGTGCCAGCACGACTTGGTCGACCGCGCTCCAGCAGAGCAAAGTCGCGGCCTGCCAACGTTGCAAGTCCACGGTGTGCTAACGCTGCAGCAAGTCGGCTGCACAGCGTAGCACCCGCAGGACAACGGTGCACCTGCTTCGCAGATGTGAGCAGCTGGTTGGTGCGCCACTCCTCGTCACGGGCACAGCACTGACGCCCGACAGAGTCCACGCCAGCGACTGCGCCCAGCCACGTCGACCTTGGGATACCACCCCCGAGGTCGGCCTCGCAGAAACCACCCCGGCGACCTTCGCACACGTCGCCCGGGTATCCCGGTCGACCGGCAACCTCGCCTGGTCGACCAGCCCAGTCCGTCGCCGACCACCCGTGACCGGCGCCCCCAAGGTCGGCGCCTCCAACCCGGCGCCTTGCTACTCGACGCCCTCCAGCTCGGCGTCACCAGACTCCCCTGTCCACGTCGACATCGGCGTCCCTCCTTCGTTGACCACCAGGTCAAGTCGACCACCAGGTCAGGTCAACCACCAGGTCGACCACCCCAGAATCGGCGCCCAGATGTCGGCGCCAGAGCAGTACCAGCCGTGCAAAAGGGCACGGCACCTACTGCTGCACGTCATCGTCATCATCGCCGATGTCGGCAAGACGAACTTGGCCGATGGCGACAGAACACCGGTTGAATGCCGAAAAATGCAGCGCCTTCGTCACGAAGTCTGCCGGCTGCTCGGTGGTCGGGATGTACTTCAGCACGAACTTCCCGCGCATCACCATGTGCTGCAGCCAAGCATAGCGTCGCTCCATGTGCTTGAGGTTGCTCGTCAGCCCCAAGCCCTCAGCGACCGTGATTGCCGACTGTTGTCCACACGGAGGACGGTCGGCTTCCCAGCGTCGAGCAGCTTGAACTCTGCAAGGAGGAAGTGAAGACGACGCCCCTCCTTGCCGGCGTCCGAGGCCACGACGTACTCCGACTTGGTCGAGGAGAGCGTCGCGCACTTGATACGCTGGCTCGACCAGGAGACCGCGGCCCCTCTGAAGACGAACACGTAGCCACCCGTGCTCGTCCGCTTCTGCTTGTCGCCCGCGTCGCCGGCGTCCACATAGCCGATCAGCTCCAGCGACTCTGGTCCACCGTCGAACTCCAGGGCGGTGTCAGCGAGGTAGGCGAGGCAGCGGTCGACCTCACGCCAATGCTGGTCGCTCCTCACTGTGAGGCCGCTCCCCAGCTTGCTGCAGGCGAAGGCGATGTCCGGCCTTGTCGTCGTCGCCGCGAACTGTGGCGTGCCGACCTTCTGCCGGTACTCCTCCTCCTCGCGCTCCTCGGCCTCCTCGTTGTCGAACGTCATCTCAGCGTAGGCATCGACCGAGACCGGCGTCTTCGAGACTAGATCGCCCTGCTCCTCGTCGATGAAGCGCCTGCGCAGCTTGTCGGCATAGTCCTGCTAGTGCAGCCACAGCTTCCTCGCTGGCCTGTCACGCACGATCTCCAACCCGAGGTACTTGACGACCGGCGAAATCTCGCGCAGCTCGAAGGCAGCCTCCAGCAGCTCCTTCAGCTCCTTCAGCATCGCGGTGGTGCTGCTGGCGGCGAGCAGGTCGTCGACGTAGACCAGCACCCAGCAGGTCACTCCGTCGTCGCCGGCCTTGAAGTAGAGCGCCGTGTCGACCTGGCTCTTCTTCCAGACAGCGCCCAGCAACACACTGTCGAGAGCCCTGTACCACAGCAACGGCGATTGCTTTAGCCCGTAGAGGCTCTTCAGCAGCTTACACACCCGGCCGGTCCCATCGTCGTAGTCCGGCTGGTACATGTAGAGTGACCTGTCGAGCTTGCTCTGCAGGAAAGCATTCTTCATGTCGAGCTGCATCAGGTTGAGGTCGAGGACGGCGACGATGCTGAGGAAGATCCTCAGCGTGACTTAGCTGCTCACCGGGGAGTACGTCTCGTCGTATTCGGCGCCGTACACCTCCGTGAAGCCCTTCACGACCAGCCTCGCCTTCTCGCACTCGATGGTGTCGTCGATGCGGTACTTGGTCGTCAGCACCCATCGGTTGTTCATGATGTTCACCCCGCGTGGGCGTTCGAGCAGTTCCCAAGTCCCCATGCAGATGAGGCTGCGGATCTCTTCTTCCATGGCGGCCTTCACCGCCTCGCCCTTCCAGCTCGCCAGCGCCTCCTTCACCGTCATCGTGGCGATGTCCCAGCGGTGTTCGGGGTCGGCATGCACGTCGAGGTCGAGCTCCGGCTGTTCTTCATCCTCCTCGGCGTTGTCGTTCAATGGGTCGTCGTCGACGTCGTCGTACACTGTGGTGAATGCAGCTGGCGGTAGGCAAGCGTGGAAGCTCAGCCGCTCCGGCGGCCGTCAAGCCCGACCTATGCGTCGCGGCTCAGGCTTCTCGATTGGCACCTCCACCACGTCGCTGTCGGTGGACTCCTCTCCCGCGGACAGCTCCACTTCCTCGTCGACATCTTCGTCGTCGACCAGCTGCTTCGACCCGTTGACCGGCTGCTCGCCTACTGCTAACTTCGACAGCCCCCCTGTCGATCGCCCCGGCTGCTGCTCCCCTGTCGACTGCACCCCTGCTGCTGCCTCCTGTTCGACCGGCTCCCCTGTCTGCTGCTCCCCTGTCGTCGACGGCTTCCGGTCCTGGTCGACGACCTTGGCGCCTTCTCGACCGCCGGCAATGCCACTGGCCGGCGCCACAGGTGACGCCTCAAGGCTCCCCTCATCGCCGATGGCCGACACAGGTGTCAACGCAGGTCGATCTGCGACGGGGGTGGGAGGAGCAAGGACAGGGGGAGGAGGAAGAACTTCCACAACATCCTCATCAGCAAGCTCGTCAACCTCGGCGAGCAGCGGGTCCGTCGCCGTCGAGGTGTCCGTCGGCGGGTGTGCCTGCGTCCGCCCCGATGCCGGCCCATACTTCGTCTTCCACACCTCCAGCGACAGCGTATCGTAGAAGATTACCTCGACCGACGTGACCACCTTGTTGTCGGTCAAGTCCAGCATCTCCCAGCCCTTACTTTCCGGCGACACACCCAGGTGAAGCCCCCAGCGAGCCTTCGGCGCCAGCTTCCCACCGCGCTGCTGCTCGGAGATCATAAACTTCACCATGCAGCCCCACACCCGCGTCAGCGTGAGGTCGGGCTTCTTCCCGGTCAGCAGCTGGTAATGCGTCGTCCCCGGCGGCGTCATCGACCGCTCCAAGCAGTTGCGCACCCAGACAGCTTGTCGAAGAGCGAGGTGCCACCAGTGGTGCTGCACGCCCATGTGCAGCAGCATCGTTCGCACGGACTCGACGACCGTGCGCATCTCCCACTCAGGCATGCCGTTCTGCTGCGGAGTGTAGGGGCACGTCAGGTCGTGGACGATGCCCTTCCCGTCCACGAAGTTGGTGAAATCCTTTCTGAGGAACTCCCCTCCCCAGTTAGAGCGGAGCAACAGCACCGACATCTTCGTCTGCCGTTCCACCAGCACCAGCCACCTCTGGAACTCCCGCAGCACGTCGCTCTTCTTAGCGACTGGCATCACCCACATGAACCGAGTGTGGCGATCCTTCAAGAGCAGGAAGTACAAGCTGCCATCCTTGGCAGCCACCCGAAATGGCCCGCACAAATCAATGTTCTCGACAGCCAGTGCTTCCTCGGCGTCCGAGCCCTTGGGGGGAAGGTGTGCCGCGCCAACTTTCCTCCAACGCACGCGACACACGGCGGGTCTGCTCCGGTCGACGGCGTGATGTCGAGCCCAGTAGCAACTCCATGCTTCGCCGAGATCTTGATCGTGTCGACGCCGACGTGTGCGAGCCTCGCATGCGAACGGTCGGGGGTCGACTTCGTCACCGAGACGATCGTCCGCAGAGCTACCACCTCGGTCGACGGCGACTGCGTCGAGCAGGGGCGAAGATCGGTGCAGAGGACCCGTCCGATGAAGCGTGCTCGACCGAGCACCTCCCTGGTCGCGGCAACGAGCAGCATCTCGTCGCCGTCGCCCTGCAGCTGCACTCCGCTCTCCTTCAGCTGGCCAGCTGATAGCAGGTTTGCATGTACTCCCGGGACGTAGAGCACGTCGGGATGAGGACCCGCGTCCTTGCCTCCCCTGGCACAGCAACGGTTCCACGACCCTCAACAGGCTGCAACGCCCCATTGAAGACCGTGCTCCACAATGTCGCTTGGCGCCATGTCGCAAAGACCGTCTTCGTCCCAATCAGGTGGTGGGAGCACCCGCTGTCGAGCAGCACCGCCATCGGGTTG